ACCTATCGTGGTTCGTCTGAAGTAGTGTTTTTAGAAATAAGAGTCAGCTATATAGCTTCTAATTTGATTTTAAAAATGGCATTAAAAAATATATGAACCTCTCTCTCTCTCTCTCTCTCTCTCTCTCTCTCTCTCTCTCTTGCTAGAAAAATCTTTCATTAATTTAAAGTTGGAAGAGTTGAAGAAGTAAAGGAATTACGACAAAGGTAAAGACTTCTTTTTTTAAATCAATAAGTTTGTGCATTGACAATTCAATACATTAGCAATAACATCACGCGACGTTGTTTCTCGTTTGCTGCTCGGTTTACGATCGGTTTCTGGAGAGGAAATGAAAACCGCGGTCACATTCCTTTGCGGGACGCGAAAGTACAAATTGATCGAAGATTCCGCGATTACGAAGTAAACGCGGGGAGAAACGTCAAATCTTGGGTCATAATAATTTAATGCAGGCGCGTCAAGCATTCCGTTCCCCCCCGCGGAGAATTTTTACTACTTCTCTCGTAGCAGGACGAGGGAAGAATCTTGCGACGACAGTACTGAAAAATTCATACGTTCCGGAGAAGAATATGAGCGGGATTGCGAATAGATAAGGTGAACACCTGACACGCATATGACAACTAACGGGGCATACGTGGTCGGACGTTAAATCGATACAACTGCCGATGGTCCTTCGGGAATTTCATATAACGTTATCGCGCGAAAGGTTCCATTTACTCCCAAAAGTCAAGTGTCGATATTTCATCAGAGGAGCAGCATCGATACTTTACGTTTTCGAAGATGAAGAACGTCTCTGCGGTGTACAAATTCTCTCGGGCCGGATGACCTAACAGGGACTTCGTTTAAAAATGTGCTCAATAGTTTAAGCAGAAGGCAAGAAGTTACAAAAGAACTAATTGAAAAATTATATATAGAGTCTCTTTTCGACAGCTCTATATTCTAGTAGTAAATCTTTTCTCGATGTAAAGTTCAGAGAAAGAATTTATTTATAATAAATATATGGGAAGAAAGATTTATTATTTTTGTTATACTTCTTTTTGTATTACTTTTTTTTGCAATTTTCTTGTTTAACACATTATGTTAATTGAGAGTTCAATTAAAATAATTAAAAGGAGTTTCTTTGAAATTAATTAAAAATTATAATTGTATTATGGTCTCATAATAATTATAATATATTGTGACAAACATTACTAATAATATTTTCTTATTCATTTACTTCTTTAGCGAGCTCGTTTCCATTTATAATTATTAATTATAGATAATTATAGATATATTATGAATATATATTATAAATATATTATTACATATTTAATCAAATGAAAAAATATTAAAATGACCGAAAAATATGTTGTTAAAATTTAATATGCAAAATGTGCGTGAAATTTTATCGTAAAGAATTCAAAATACAGAATTTTTAATTTTTAACTTTTTTAATTTATAGTTCTAAATCACAATCATTAAATATTTTAAATCATTATGTTTAAAATATATTAAGAAAACATTTTAAGAAAATTAAAAAATTATGTAAATAATATTCTGAAATAATAAATTTTAAATTCAAAAAATTTTATACATTTTTTAAAACACAATTTAGATAAATGGCTCGAGCTTGTTCTAATCTAAAAATAAGAAATCAAGATAATAATTATTCGCATAATTACAATTACGTAGTTTACACGAAAATTCGAAAAGATTTATCATCGAGACGATGTCGGATCTAGCTCACCATTAAGTGGCCGGGGGGAGGAAGGGGAGGGGGAAGTCACGTAAGAACGTCTCGCACTTAGAAACTCGAAGATTTCGCTCGGCGCACAATAGCAAAAAGTCGCAAGGTGCGGAAACTCCGAAAGAGCGGGGAACGTCACGGTACGACTTTATTACACGGCTAGTTCGATTTACGAGTTACTCGAATCCAGGTATTTTCCGCCGCGAACAGGTGAGGTCGGCGGGGAGAGGCGGAGAGGGAGATCAAGGACGTTCGGCGATAAATTTTCTTGGGCTATAATGGGACTCTATGGTGGTGGAACGGACAGTGACGGGGGGGGGGCGGATATCGGGGGTAGAATTTCTGCGTCGACTCAAGAGGCGACTGCATCGAACGACGTTGAAAAAAGGAGGCGAAGTGGAGGCGGAGGGATCAGACGAGTTAGGATTGAGAATGTCGTTATCGACGAGAAATTTTTCTTGGCGTTTCTCGATTACTTGACGCTTGCGAATGGACGAAGCCAGAGGACTCTGCGATGAGATACGAGCGCCTCGTATAGATACAGGTCGTATATGATCAAAATAGAATGTGTCTAAAATTATTTCTCTAGCTGTTCTAGACGTAACAAGAGAGAAAGGGAGAGAGAAACAGTAAAAGAAGAGAAAGCTTCTTGAACGCGTTCTATCTTTATTCCTCTCGCCGTATGTACGCACATATACTTGTCCCTTCCTTTCGTCCGCATTCTAGCGGCGTCTTCAGTCTAATACCGGTCTTTCGTCCTAATACCTCGTTCGTGTCTATAAAGTAAACCCCTCATAAAGCATCGAGCCGGTGGCGGACGACGTGAGGAATCCCCTGATACTGCGGTTTTCACAGTGAATGAGAGTGGTCGAGGATTTTTAAAGTTTTACTCGCCGGGTGGACAAAGAAGAGAACGGTGGGTCGCCAGTAATCCGTTTTAGTCATTCCGTATGCATTCTCGGGTATTCCTCGGCCGCGGTGCTCCAAAACTGCGAATCGGCGAAGAGGGAAATCAAAAAGAAATCGGAATGCCAGTTCAGAATGGTTGAAGAGGAGAAGTGAAAAGTTTGAATAAAAGGCAGTCAAACGAGCTGTTCGAGTGAACTTTATTTAAGTGTTGACGGTATCTAAAGCGGGAATGAAAATCGATTCGTAATTTCGACGAGTAAAAGTTTCGAAAGTTACGAAAAAAAAAGTACTGCCTATCAATTATCGCGAATATATATTGAAATTTTGATTTATAATTTGATTGAATTCTAAATATGTGTTAGGATAACTTTGATGTTAGCTTTTGTCGTTTATTTTTGTTTGTCAAACGTAAAGAGAAGTAATAAATCGAAAAAAAAGAATCGAAAAGAATACGACGTTCATCCGATATTCTAGCAACGATCAATTTGCGAAGGACTCGCCCGGCGAAGGAAGAAGTTCCTTTTAAATTCGAGTCTGGCTGCTTCTTGATAGAGAATCCCCGAGTGGCTATTTTTCACGGCCGAATAGAGTCGTTTAATTCCGCGAACTCGAGATGAGAGAATAGGAATTTGCCTGCGCGTCCGGTCCTCAGCTTTTTATGATTCAGTACAGTGAAATGACTTTTTTCGGATTCGCGCGCTTCTAACATTTTTTCCACACGAAATCGCTTTGTTAAAATATAAAATTATTACGCGTGAATCTAATGATACATTTACCAATATAATATCTATACATACAGTTTCTCTATATACAGTCCCAAAATTGACGATAAATATTTTAAAGACAAGTTCTTTGTAACATTTTAGGGCGTAAAGTCTAGTATGAAAATGCCGAGGCTGTAATAATTTTCAAATAAGAAGAATTTAATAAATTATGAATGTGACGGCTAAAATTTCGCGCGAAATTTCAGAAATGGCAAGATGTAGAGGTCTTCTAATAACAGTCTGGACATGAGCTGCAATTTTATTTGCAGGGTAGTAGTTTTGTACTAGTTTTAACAAATATCTGTAAAAAAGAAGGATATACATTTACCGAGAAGAGAATCAAGGGAGAGTGGAGCGGATAGTGATTCTCTTCTCTGATTGGTTCCGTCATTTATAGTGCACTGTATGTACATATACCTCATACACACAATACTAGTGTGTGCAGCTCCATTATGTTCCATCACGCTCCTACCATATCTCCTACTCACTTCAACGGTGCACTAAACATGGCGGCTTCCGGGTGAATCCGTTCCACTCTCCCTTGATTCTCTCTGACATTTATTATTCCTTTCTCATTCCGTTCTATCTTTTTCTTGTCTATTTCTGCCTCTCTCTCTCTCTCTCTCTCTCTCACACACACACACACACACACAGAGCTGTTAACACATATCAGATCAATCATAAGTGACTTTCTCATGTCTAGATTCTTAAAGAATCTCTAGCAAGATGAAGATGCTGAATTTTGTCAAAAGCACGAAGCACCTTCATACTGACTATCTGCCATTCCTGAACTCGCGAAATTCTAACCCTGTCATTTTTAAATTCTTTCCATTTAAAATATGATCGGTATTTTTGTATTAAACTTTTTGTCTTAAAATGTTACACAAAGAATCTGTCTTTAAAATATTTATTGTCAGTTTTAGGACAACGCGTACATTCTGGTCGTTGCTCCCAGCAAATTATATCGTCTGTTTTTCTTAATTCCAAGAGTTTGCAAAACGAAGTCGCGCGCGCATTCGATGGCAGATACGAAATGCCAAAACACGTAGCTTCTGTAATATTCAAAAGGATCGGTCGAGGGAAACGATGGAACATCGAGAATAACGAGGCGAACTTCTAGTCGGTACATCGACAACTGTAGCGCGTAAAGAAATAGAGAAACAAAGAAAGAAATTGATTATATTTCGGAGAAATGCACCTCTCACAAAAGTAGAAATATGCAAGAAAATTTAATCAAAATATAATTAGCTGGAAAGTATTAAGGAAACTGGGATACCGAATAAAAGCGTAATAACTGAGAGGTAAATTAAGATAAAAATCTTAAAAGATAAATTCTTCTCTTGCGAATGTATATATATATATATATATATATATATATATATATCCAAAAAGGACGTTTACAAAAAGACAGGTTAAAGAGGAGTAATAAGTTTTCAGAAAATATATACATATAGCTATTATATGTATTACATAAAACTCTATCTTAAAAATAAAATAGAGTAGAATGGAAGGAGGAAGAAGTCGACTTGTGTAAGCGATGCAATCGTAACAGACTAAGTGGGTACACTAATCTGCGATATAAAAACGGACGGGTCGTATTTCAGCCAGTCTAAAGGCGATTCACTCGCATACACAGGATCTCGTTAACGGAGCGCGGGAGAGTCGAGAAGAAGGAAGAACGCAGCACACAAAGGATTTCCACGGGACGCGGCACGCCGTCCGTCCTTCCGTACGCAAGAATGCAGGATCAGGATGAATTTTACAGGACCCTCTGCTCGTCGGAGACTCTACGTTCCGGCAAGAAGGGATTCTTCCACGATTTTAGCGGGCACGTAATGCAAACTGCGGGCGATACCTGGACGTCGAGGACATTCGGCCGGATCGATGACAACGAGGGACGGGTTAGGGCGATCTTCACCGACGCGAAAGTAAAAGACGTCGTGACTGACACGCTCGCAAAGGTGAAGCTCCTTTTCAGAGACAAGGATGCTGAGATCTCCAAGCGCAGGCGACTCGAAGGATACCAGCTCGCCGCCGTCGGTGAACACGACAAGGCTCTTTTGCTGTTCAGTCAGGCTGTCTTGCGCGCCCCTCAACCAGGTCACTACAAATGTGGTAGAAAATCCATTATCCGAGACAAATTTATTTAAACTTATACACTATTAGATATCGAAGGAAGAGTAACCTCCCTAGAATTAAATAACATTTATATGTTATAAATATTTTATTATCATTACCTATGTGTGTCAAAATGTAAAGTAATTCTGTAGTTAGTTTCGTAGTAAACAACGTATCCATATTAAGATATACATTTAGTAAATAATAAACTAAATTTAAATTAAATTTTTTTACATTTTTTTTAAATTAAATTATCTAACTCCATTGTTTTAGTTAAATTAATGAAATATTGAGTAAGCAATGGCGACCTATAGAAATAATTATTAATCCAAATTGAGTATAATTTGACATTATGAATTTAATAATGTTAACTGCATATCTCGTTGCTTATGACATTTATTGCATTACTTATACTACCTTTAATATCTTGTTTTACATTTTTTTACTTAAACTTCTAGGCAATAGACATATATATATTATTGTCCTCTTTATCCGAATAATTGATATTTATAGCGTATGTATTATCTATTATCAAATGCACTATTAGATTCATTCGATTAAATTTTTAAATACGGTTATTAAAATAGATCACTAACCAACGATCGTTGAATTTTAATTTTGTGCCAACATAAAATAAATGCACTTAATATTGTTTCAGTAATTAGGATGTGACGCTCCGAATGTTTAATTAAATCATATATAATTATTATTTACCACAAATATAATGTAATTGCTATTTATTTGATTTAATTATTAATTGCTAATTTAGATATTAAAGCAATAATTTGTGCTGGGGAATTAAAGGTTATTTGTTGATGTATCTATATTACATACGAGTTCCATCTGATTCTTTCTTATATTAAATGAATATTTTAATACTTCTATGAATTCTAATGCGCGCGCGTGTAGATTTAAAATATGCATCGACAAGTCGATTGCATTTGCTCTGGCATCCCGCCAGATCTACATAACAAATAGAATAAATACTTGAATCTTACTCACCGCGCACATTCTGGCAACACACGTCAGTCGATCGAAAAGCTCATGTTTTCATGTCTTTATTAATTTTGTGTCAATAAATTATTCGCGTACGCGATGGTCGATGAATGAATCTCGAAGCCAAGTAGCGATATTTTTCTAAATCACACGATATTGACAATATCTGTCTCAGGTAGAAACAAGAACGTTGATCAGGGTCTTTCGTTGTCTCTGGCGCTGCTGGGAAGAGCTGAGATCTTTATAGCTCTCAAAGAATACTATTTTGCGCTGGAGGATCTGCAACTGGCCGCCGAACATGATTTGCCGGATAAATTGATGTAAGCATTCCTCAATTTGCAGAATCTCTATATTTTAGAATTGAGAAAAGTCATTATACAAAAAGCAGACGTAAAAGTCCCGAACTATCATGAGTGGAATCACAATAAAAGAAAAAAACAATTGCAATTTCTATAATATAACTATAATTTATAATCATTTTTTGAGTCAACTAAATATTTTTTTGATAGAATTATAAATATAATTATTATTATAAATACTGTAGCAATAACAATTATAAAGATAGAGTTCCTAACTATAATTATTTTACTCTGCAATTAAAAGATGTTTTTTTATTTCTGCATTAGATTGCACTAAAACTCTCTTTCTCGCTTTCGCTAAATATCACATAAATAAACATATCTATTTTACTTTTTCCAAAAGTGTAGTTCAGTTATAGAAAACATATGGTATATAATTACAAATACCAAACATTTCTCTCAATGAAAAGAATGATTTCTACTGAAGTATCTAAAAATCTAGCTAGATACAGATCTAAAAATAATTTTATTGGACCATCAGAATAATTACGTAGGAATCTCAAGCATAATAAATATTGATGAACAACGCTGCAAAAAGTTTTGACATTTTAAGAACTAATTTGAGCGTCCTATGTAATTATTTTAATGATATAACCAGATTATTTTCAGATCTGTATCTATATAATAGCTAAATTTTTAAATATTACAGAAAAACTGTCTCTTCTATGTATGATTGTAAAATCTATTCTAAATCTAAGGAGAAAGAATTCAATTCCTAAATAATCGCATATTCTAGAACAGTCCACGCGTAAAGTACATGAAGAGAAATTTGATTAACTAGAGAGCAATTTCGAAAGCGCAATCTTGTCGAATTTTGCAGGTGAATATCAACACGAGGAAATCTGCAAATTTGTAGATTTTTGCGACACGCTCTTTGATGTGTTTTTCAGCTCTGCTCTCTATGTACAATTTTCCCAAGTTACAGTTTCCCTAGACGCACATACGAATTTAATCGCGGGTGTATCTTTACTCCGGGATGTACATGCTCGCTCAGAACCACCGGAGGCTTCGAGCCCGATATAATGCAGCGAGGGATGAGGTGGGATACGCGCGCGTGTACTTCCTAAAATATTCAGAAGGGATGGGCACTTGCCGGGACGGACGGCGGCCACTACCGAACGAAACTAGACTCCGGTTTTAGCCTACCTTCTCTGTGGTGCCGTCACTGGCTTCCCGCTAGGTTAACCTCGTGAAACTAGCCGTACGACGAGGCGAAGTGGCCTTTGAGTAGACGAACAATAAACATTTAATGCGGCGCTTTTGAGAGCGGCATTAACCCTCCGGTCGCCGACCGATGAGGCGGATTAAGCGCGAATGCGAGTCTTGAATTTTTAAATGCCATTAATTTTACGCGAAAAGTACGTTGTTTAAAATCGAAAAGGAGATTTCGATTGCGTGATAAAGAACTTTTGGTACCGTTCGCTCGATGTTTCACTCCATTACGGGAAGTTCATAAACTTCAGGAGATCAGGATGGGCACGTCAAGCAGATTCTAAAGTTATTGTCGTCGATAAGCATTTGTTCTCGACATTTTAAATGCTGCGAACACGAGTTTGCTAATGCGAGAAAATTGTCATAAACATGAGGCTTACATGGAACATTGTATTTTCATTTTGCCAAAAAATCTCGAATTTCTGGTGAAGAGAAAAATAGAAGAGAGAACTTAATGAATCGCCATCCATCATTGGCGAAATAAGGCCAAATTTGAAAAATGCGTGCTTTGTGTAACAAGTGCGGGTGATCTTCCTACTCATTGTTCTTATATTATATCTTTCTAAATCAAAAAGAATATGAAGTGGCTGATCGATCGTTTTGTATTAAGTGTTTGAATCACCCTGTACGTGACACGCGCGATGCTGTGCTGATTAAACCGTCATATTATATACCGGAGGAAAATATCGTAAAATCCCCCATGGCGATATAATAATGAAGGTAATTCGCTCGTCGATGGCGATCGACAGGATTAACAGTACATTTGCCATGATACCTGGTTATAAAAAGAATCTATTAGATTCTCAAAAAAAAAAGGGATTTACTTAGATGTACATTTAGGAAGAATTTTATTTTTAATATTTCCGAAGTTTCTGTAATTCTCGAACACACGCTCTGTTAATTAAAATCTAAAAATAGTAAAAAAAATAATTTTAAATTAAAATCGCATGTTTCTGAAAGACAGCTTGAGATTCATGTAAAAGTAGTATTTTTAAAGTTTCTCCAGACTGACAGCTCTAGAGAATATTATTAAATAAAAGATTCTGCGAAGTCTAAAAGATTTTCATTATGCAGGTATCTAAACCTTAAAATGCCTTAAAATGAGATTTGGAATGGTCCGTGTATTGTTCCCGGCATGATTATATTACAATCTGATGCTACCCGAATTTTCGAAAATTTCATGTACAATCTCGCTTGCCTCGCTTTAACGATCCACATTCTCTGGTTTATCAGCGCAGACAGACGTAGTTATCATTGCATCAATCGCGAGTAGATAGACGCGAGTGAGCCGCGCTCATCGCCCGGTCGGTGGTCGGTGGACGTACTGCAAAATCGATAATATAAACACTGTGCAAGCCGCGGGCGAGCGGGCGTAGTAGCTGTTCTGTCAATTAAAATCGCAGCTGAATTAATGACGGATAAATGCGGACATGACGGATTACGCAAAATGGATTTTATCCGGCCCACGCCACCAGTTATCCGTCCCGCGCCGCAAACGGCGTTATATTCGGGGAGGACGATCCGGGGGAACGTTCTAATTATAATTGCTACAATTATCGATGAACGTCACGCGGAATTCTCAAACGCGGGTGGATCATTAGAAACTCGACGCGCGTAACGAGATTGAATATTATCATTTTCATTATATTATATTATTAGGTGTTGGAATTAATTCGTAGCGTTTTACAAGTGATGGGAAGTACTTTCATTAATGTATTTTTTAATGCTCATGTGAAATAAATAACATTCTTTCATTTAAAAACGCTACGAATTAATTCCAACACCTAATAATATAATATAATGAAAATGATAATATTCAATCTCGTTACGCGCGTCGAGTTTCTAATGATCCACCCGCGTTTGAGAATTCCGCGTGACGTTCATCGATAATTGTAGCAATTATAATTAGCA